GAAGGCTTAACTTTTCGTCTTGAATGATCTAGGGTGACGATTTTCTGTCTTTTTCTACACAGTGATTCTACACATAAGAGAGAAGGTTGCCTTGTGGGGTTTCACAAACATTGTCAAATGCGAAATATTTTCCGTGTCAGATGTATGACATCACAACAATCGAGTGTAAAAAGGTCATTTGAATCAGTACGGGAATGAAAGCATATCACAACATCCTTCAAACCTGTTCAAGAAAATATTATTCCATAGACAGTTATTAGCTTTGATGGTGACCCTTGAACTCGTGCTTGTACAAATACGACTATTGAGATGATTGATCTAGCTGGTATAATTAACTAGCACATTGCTGATTTCTTTTAACCAATTTGTTAGCCACAAAGAACATTGACAAATTTCATTGATCCCGTCTCCTTTACTCCCAGGGTTTTAATAAATTTTCTGCTTTATACAAAGGCAAATCTTTCATTGCTATTCCATAAAATTAACTAACGTTTGAAGCAAAACAGTGGAAAAAGAATATTTCCTATTTATCATTAAAATGTTCGTATTGTTTTTGTGTGTTAATCGACACATCCTGACACGATTCGAGCATTTCAATTTTTTGGAATGGGTTCATAAACTTAAATAGTATTGACTACTATTAGCATTTCATAGGGACTGCTCGTAGTTTTATAATGAATCGTTCCCCGATGCATTCAAATATCTTTGCCCTAATATTATTATATACAAGGTTTCATACTAAAACTTCCTTTCAAAGAAGAAAATGTCATCAGCGGGCAGGATGCAGTATATAAGCACATCAGCGATTTTACGTCACTGGTTTTCTCTTTGTTTCAGATCTATATCAAATATTTTACGTACAAAACTCTATTATCAATGTATAGAACGAAACTGATATCAAATCCTATTACTTTGGTCTAGAAATTTAATTCAATTCGGTATTATTAGAATAAATATCATTGAATAGAAATGCTTTTAGTTGTGAATTATTTGATAAAATACAATGTTATGAGAAAAGAAAAAGCTCTTAATCTATTATATGATAATTTTCTATATTATGAAAGTGAAAGTCTGTCAATTCAATCAGATATATATATTATCAAGTGAGACATATAATTTTACCACAAACCGACAGAATTACAATTCAGAATACAACCCAGGTTACAAGGCTTTATTATAGCTGTCAATGTCTAGAAAGACATCCAGTTATATACCTGTGGGGTGCCGAAACCCATCGAAAATTTATAAAACTATATGAAAAAAGTAGGCAAACATAGCTTACATTATTGTTAATTTATCAAGATATGTCTTTATGTCTTAAAAGTATAAGAAGTAACAGGGACGATATACTACTCAAAAACTCAGACGCTTGAATGTAAGATTGGTCGGAGAAAAGGTTAGAGAGTACCTTCGAACTTTTCAACGCAGTTCACTTCTGTACGTGAGGCTGGTTTGGGGATTCAGGGGATTGTTGTCGATCGGGTTTTTCTAGTTGCTAATGGTCAAAATGAATTAAGTTTTCTAGATATTGCAGTGAATATCCGTCTGATGTGTCTGATGTTTAACTCGTATGGCTTTTAAAACTCAAATGCGCAAATCAAATCCACGAGGCTGAAAATAGCGTTTGGATCAAAGGGACATAAACCAGTCTTATACACCCTCAGACTACAATCAAATTATCTTCCTTTTTCAATTGAAAAAATGGTTACAAAGCATCTTAAGGCCAGCCCAACAAACAACGAAAATTTAAGTTTAAAAGAAAAATATTTTTCAGTTTCCAGTCAATCACCCGACAAACACGTTCGTGGTCGATTGACCAAACTGACAACTTTTCGAGTAATTATCGTAAAAGTTGATTTTCCGAATACTTCCAGACTATTGACTTCGATCACTTAAAGCTTATAATTGCTTCTAAAGAAATATCCGTTCACTTCTTTGACAATTCTGTCTAAGTTAATGGAGGCTATATGTAAAATCAATTAAATGGCTTTATTAAGGAATGTTATTAAGGATTTAGTCTAAGTTTACTTGTATTTGACAAATTTGGCTTAAAGGTACTCTACGTACGTTTATCATAAAGAGCATTATTAGCAATGTGGACTCTCCGAAAGAGATGCCGAGCTGACAAATGCAGTCGTAAAGTGGATTCAGCTGGTCTGATGAGTAAAAACTAGAAAACTAAAAAAAGATTTTTATGGAAATTAAAGAATGTAATGCAAATGATTATAATGAACACCCCTCAACACACACATGCACCCCACACCCAAACACGTTTTTAAACATTAGTTCACATTAATAAATCCAAAAAGCTGCATCATAGTTCACACGTCATGGGATGAATAGACTGTTGGATTTTTTCCCATCGCAATTTTTAAGGCATTTGGAATCATACTAGGTTTTCATTAAATAAATTGATACGCAATTTGAAATGTTCTTTAAACTTATCTTGTATAATAGGCCTTTTAACATTGTAGCAACCCCTAGACATGGATTAATCCATTAATGTTATTAATGTCATTATTAATTGAGTATATGTGAGTTACTATCAATGACATATTGATGTATATTAATGTTCCATAATATCATTAAATGCCTAAAATGACTCTTATCCACCTAATATAATTTCATCGTAGTGATTTTTGCTACTCTATAGAAAATCTTGTAAGTCATGATCATACACATCCAAATGAAAGCTGACTTGAAACCGTATCAAAACAACATTCAATTTTCCTTCCATAATATTTATAATTTTTGCTTGTTCTGTAATAGAAAAAAAAAGTTCTTTTCGTAATTTTGTCAATGGTTTTTTGATTCCCCATATTATGATCTTTTCCGACGCGACCCTGAAACCTATACATTTCACAAAGGGTTCTCGCCTTGCTCCGACCTGCAATACCCGAAATCCAAAACAACATAATGACAAAACATTGATATAGCAGCTAATGAACTTTTTATGAAGTATATCAATCATAAGTGAGTAACTATTTCATGATGAAAAGTGGTATCTGGTGTCTAGACGAGTAAGCATAGAATGATTATGGCCGCAACCGGCTACCATAGTTTATAAATGGTAACAGTTTGACCATCAACTACCTCCACAAGCCAATGAATGATACGTACTCTTAACGTCTGTGACATTACATGTATTTATTTTTGATAACCTTTGAAATATCATAAAAAAGATTATCAATAGTTCAATAAATTATCTAACAGTTTTTAAAAATATATATTTAAAAATAATAAATCTTGATAGTTGATATTAACACACGTTTTGCTGATCATGCAATCAGCCCGAGAAAAATATAACTTCAAACTAATGTTCATATTATCATGTTTATAATCTCCACATTAAAATGATAAAAAATTGTAATCAGTCGAAAAGTGGACTTGAACCCTAGTTTATGCACAAATAGCCTACCGTGAAAGTTACGCTAGCCCTCAAGCAACCTATCGCATTAATGAATGGCAGCCATAGTATGCCGGAGCTATGCCAAAGTTGTTAAGTGATCGTATGATTTTTGTAGATCTAACGAGTGTTTGTAAACATAGTCAATAAAAATAAAACATCAGCAAGAAAATGTATTCAAAATGATAATAAAATGTATCATTGGAGAACAAATAGTCACGGTATAGCATAAGTACATAAGTGACAGATTTATCTCCCAAAGACTCTAAATTTATGGAACTCACTTGGTCGCAATATTACTATCACTTGACAAATCACTGCTAAATACCGGAAGTCAAGAGTCTCGCCCAAGAAGACACAACGTAATTCACCATTCATTACAGAGACAGATTCAGCTTTACAGAAAATGCCCAGGTTTGCCGAATGAGTCTAAAATCTAATATTAAAATGATAAAAAGATTGTCAAAAAAGTAGTCTGGAACTCTAGTTTATGTACAAAACGAAAAAAAAAATTTACGGGCAAACAATCTGTAATTGTACGAAAAATAGAAACATAATTTCAGAACGAAGTACTATATTGACCCGGACAACATCTTTCCATCAGTTCTAAGCTACATTATCACAATGGAGTGTTTACAACTGATCAATTTCATGATTCTGCAAAGCGCAACCTAGTCCTATTGATAGAAGTAAACATGAAACCGATATCCCATGAAAATGGAAACTGGCAATGTCATTATTTCGTAATTTATCATCAATTATACATACTAAATTTTGATAGGTAAATGTTATGGTTCATGAAAAGGTCAGACGTGATATCACGATGGTCAGATTGTATTAAAGATAATTCAGAAAAGAAACCTTACACTTATGCCTTGAACCTACGTGTAAGTTTGGCATATGCAATAGCAGATATTCCGTCTCTTTGATAAATACTTACCTATTCAAATCTAATATAATCTCATCAAAAGAAGAGAGTCAATCAACATGGAAACCGGACTACTTTCTATAAACTTCAGATTTACACGAACTCAAATCTAATTGTTTTGGTATTATTTAGAGTCCTTTCAGTTGCAGTTCCAAACATATTTATTACCACTCAATTCAAATGGAAAGTCTAGTTCATTGGTCTCCGGCCAAATTGACCAAGTTTGTAGATACGAGTTGCACCCCTTTGCCGGAATACATCTCTTCTAAGAAGGTTTCGGATCTAATTACAAATGAGAGAGTTAAAAACAAAGAAGAGAGCACGTTGTTTAACTCCAGTGGACACTTTCACTTGCATGTTTTGTACGAGCGATGTGGTTTGAATTACATTTTGCATTGTAAATTAGATTGGGAACTAAAGAACAAAAGAAAGAAACAAAGGAAATAAATTAGTCCTCACAGGTTTATATGTCAGATAAAACTCTTTCCCTGGTGATGCAGGATTTGAAATATCATACAAACACTCTGTAGTAATTTATCCACTACATGTGAACTAAGAGCGGCATATTTCGGACTAGTAATTATTATGCGTGTCACAGTACATGATAACAACTCTGTTGAATATATTATTAATATAATTTAATCTTGGCCAAATTTAGAGTACACAATGTCGGTAGTAGAAGTTAAAGATGCTTGTGGTAAAACCTACAAATACATCGAACATAATGGTTTTAAATTTGTTAATTTGAATATTGAGAGTGTCAGGAATTATGAGAGTTTTAAACTAAGGGAAAGTGATACCTTGATTTGTGCCTATAGTAAATCTGGTAAGGCTATTTTTTTTATGTGAACGTATGAAATCATTGCTGCACATCAAATCTTGACCCTGCACGCTGCAGTGCCGATAAATCTCGGCTAGTTGAAGTATTACGATCTATTATCTAAAATATTAGCTAGAATTGAAGTTGCCTCTATTTGCGGATAACATTTATTATTGATATCCAGTAACATCAGAAAGTTTGCTGTTCAGAATGTTCAGATGGTCAGATGTGTTTAAATTTTGCGTCTATTGCGAAATAAATTTGCTTTCAGGAACTCATTGGATATGGGAAATATGTCGAATGTTACTGGCCGGAACAACTGATTTGAAAATCATTGACAAGGAGACTCAGATGATAGAACTATCGGACCACAAAGATATAGAGAACCAGCCATCTCCAAGACTCATCAATACTCATGTTAACTACGATCTGCTACCAAATGATTTCTGGAAGTACAAAAATAGGATTGTGTACTTAAGAAGAAATCCGAAAGATCTGGCAGTATCGTTTTACAACCATGCTGTGAAAATTAAGAATGCGTATGGTTATGATGGAGAGTGGAAGGATTTCCTTGAGCTATTTATAGATGGTAAAAGTACGTTCAGTTATAGTATTTTTAATTCAAAATACTCGAAATTACATATTCTTTTACTGAAGATGTTTGTCATCTTTACAGATGTTACTACGGTTAAAACAAATGTACCACCAAACATACACTCAATGTCATAAAATCTAAATCATCATTGTGTCATCAAATATATCAAACTGATGACATAAAACTAATGCGATCATCGAATATATATCATATATTTTTAAACTCATATCATCAATATTAAAATCAGCAATACACCCAATAACATAAAACTAATGTCATCAAATATACACCCAAAGTCAAAGAATAATGTCACTAAAGTGTTATAATATATACAGAATATGTCATAAAACTAATGTTATCCAATGTGTCATCAAATATACACCTAGTGTAATAGAATCAATATCCTCCAATGTGTCATCAAATATACACCAAATGCAATAAAAATAATAACCGCCAATGTGTCATCAAATATACACCCAATGCCATAAAATTCATAACCTCCAATGTGTCATCAAAGATACACCCAATGCAATACAAATAATAACCTCCAATGTGTCATCAAATATGCACCCAATGTCAAAAAACTATTGTCATCAATGAGTCATCAAATATACACCCAATGTCATAAAACTATTGTCATCAATGAGTCATCAAATATACACCCAATGTCAGGTCTTCAAGTATTCACAGTATTGTAATAAAGCAATTGTCATTTGATGTGCCATACACCCAATGTATTAAAGCTTATGATATCAAACGAAACCTTTCTTTAATCATTTTACTTTTAGCTGATAATGGTTCATGGTTTGAGTATGTACTGCAATGGGAAAGAGTAATAGAGAATTCAACTGATGTAGAGATTCTAGATGTTACATTTGAGGATTTGAAACAGGTAAATGTTGACATGGTCATAGGCAAAACATGCGATTAATCTGTACTTGATGGCAACTAGTTACTTTTGCAGAAATTTGGAATATTACAACATATGAAGGGGAACAGAAAATTCTTAAAAATTATAAGAGATCTATAAATGACTATCAATTTTTTGTCTCAAACTGAAGGGCAAGTGATGTAGTGAGTGACAGCAATAGATGGTATTTCTTTGTTTTTTTTCTTTAGGTTATATTTTCTTTTGTAGAATCCCGTGCAAGAAATCCATCGACTCTGTAAGTTTTTTGATTTATCGTTAACTGATGAATTCATTAGAGAAGTAAAAGACCATTGTGAGTTTAAAAAGTTAAAAGAGAGAAAAGGGTATTTTTTAACTACACCTGATGGAGAATCGTCACTATATAGAAAGGGTAGGCCGCAATCCTTTTTGTATTTTCTTATGTTTTGGATTTGGTATGATCGAGACAACACGTTATAGTATCCTTTTTAAGTAAATCATCGGGTCTTTTGTGGTCGAGTTCGAACCTCATTTCGAGATTGTGCGACCGTTAATGGTTGCAGATAGCTCAGGTTAAAATTTTGATACATAGTAGGCTAGTAACGTAGCTTTAATATTTCATGATAGCTTTAATAGTTCATGATAGCTTTAATATTGCATATATAAGTTTTACGTCATACTGTTCTGTTTAGCCTGCTCTTTTTAGATTCCCAACTGTCGTGGGATCTCTAACGTGCACAGCCTGTAGTACACGGGTCTTGGTTTTTTGTCCCATCCAAACCACTAGATGCTCTTCCCATGTCAGCCCCTCATCACTGATACGAGGAAGGTATTATCTTGACCTTTGCCGGGATTGAACCACGGACGTCTAACTCACTGAGCGACCGCTTCCATTTCCATATTTTATGAAAAATAGTAGATTTGATATTTCAAATGTTTAAATTCTCAAATATTTAGGATACCATGAATACTTTATTATAAAGTTCGTAAAAGTTTCGTGGTAGCTCTAACATATCACGATAACTTCAATTTCAGGAAGTGTTAATAATAGCAGTACAGCTTTAAATATTCATATGAGTTATCGTGGACTGTTTCACGGTAGCTCTATGTCTCTATATTTCTTGAGATAAAAGTCTTTAGATTTCATATTTGGTGATAGCTTTTATATCTATTTATCAAGTTACTTTAATATTTCATGATATCTTTAATATTCCATTGTAACTTTGATATTTTACGCTGTGTTTTGTCGTAATTAGTCCAATCTAATTAAAAATATATATATATTTGCAGGTGAGGTAGGAGATTGGAAAAACTGGTTTACAGTGGCACAAAATGAACTTTTTGATAGCATATACAAGAAGAGAATGATAGGATCCAAACTAGAGTTTAAATATCAATAGAGGAAGTCTTTTATTATGATCTATGTAACAACAACGTACAACAAAAAGTGTCCATAATAATCTCTATCCCCGTAAAATAAGTAAAAAAAGATCTTTTCTCAATATCTCGCAAGTCACGGTTTTATCGGTGACGTGTGTCATGGAATTATTCGTAAAATTTATCATGTCATTTTGGTAAAATATGTCATGGAATGACATATCTTGACAACGCCAATGATGGAATAGTCTATCACGAAAATATTGAGATATATGTCATGGAAATATTGGGAAAATATAACGTTTTCTGTTCTAGAAATAAAAATGAATTCAAGTGATCAGCTTCTCTCAGAGTGCAAGCAGTAGTTGAAAGTCCCTAATCCGCGATTCAGCCATTCGTATGGACTAACTGGGCCCTGCTTTAAGCAAGCAGTTACTTAAACCTCGAGTCTTCTTAAGTTGTCATACAATGTCATACAAATCAACGAACTTCTGACAAGATCTTTTGTGGTTTCCTTTCGTCACTATTTGGATTTTTTAAAATTTAGGGAGACCGTTTTATTGGAACGTTCACTTTCTTTTCGATCTAGTGTACCTTAGTCTCAAGGTAATGGTTCACCTAATCATATAAGTAATAATATTGGCAGCATATCGTCACAATTTGACGTTTGAAAATTACATTGACGATCTTTTTCTAGAAACTTCGTCATTTCGATAAGACCCGTAGCTAGACTTTATCGTTCGGAGGGGCAAGTAATATATCAGGAGGGGCAACGGTGTATGCTGCTTAGTTGCAGAAATGGGATTTGTCGATTGTCACGGGCCTGTTAAATAGTTTTTATATGATAACTTCTGCTGTCATTCTGCTCAAGGTTAGGTACTTCACATCACATCGATTTTTGAAAGACTATTAACGCTAGAGCATGCACAGACCGTATTTCCTGATATCGACCTTGTTGAAGAGAAGAACAATATTCAGGCAGGGTTGAAACCAGTATAATTGCAAAAATAGAAAGTGAAGTTTCTTGTTAGAGGTATATCTGAGATTTTTTATATTTCCTGTACTTTTGAAGGCTAACATATAATTTGAGGGCCCAAAATCAACACCAGAAATAAAACGGCAAAAAAGTGACGGTAAAAAAACAGACGAGGAAAAAGCCGTCATCAAGGATTCTAAGTCAGCAGTCCAATGATCCTCACTTGAATTTTGATAAGTCGAGGATTCAGTTCTCAGGGCAAGACGAAAAATGCGAAGTGCTAAGGTTCTGCTTTACATTTCTTAAGCTCCTGGAGCTTCTTATAGATAATAAGTTTGATTTTATTACAAATTGCGGATTACTGTATAATTTACTACAAAAAACTACAATCTCAGTAACATGCAGTAATGACAGTAATGATTGGTCGAGTTGCCTTTCTGGCGTTTTTATTTGAGGCACAACAATTGACACAGTGAAATAATCCCGAAATGGAAGTTTTGTGGCCTCGGCCTCTTCAACTAATGTTTCCATAAAAAGCCACTGCTCATAGATACTTCTAAATAATGAGATGATTCTACTTTCTAAAGTAAACATATTAATTACTAGAGTAACAGTGGTTTACTGAGGTTCAGAATAATGTTGAAAATTCTAAAATAATTCTGATTATATTAATAATGTTCAGTCCACTTCAAACAGCGTCTTGGTTGGTTAAACCAAATTAGACGATGTTCTTAAAATTAAAAAAAACTAACAAAATTTAAGACACGTGACAATACATAATACTGTTACTCATTTTATTAATATATTTTGGCATTTGGTCAAAATCTTCACCAATCTCAATCCATAGGTCAAATTGCCTTGTTTCATATATATTTCTCTATACTGAGCAATTTTCCAGCATCTACTTCTCAAAAATCTTTTTAAAGTTTATTAATGCTAGCTGGCTATGCAATGTATAGCCTCTCACCCAGTCTCTCTTTGTCTACACACAGCTGCGACGAAACATTGCCTGGAACGTTTTCTTCAAATCTTTGTAATACGTCAGTTCGGAACTATAAGTGCTCATGCGCGACACACTTATTCCCACAGGGGGGTGGCCATTTTTTCTGTTGTAAATATGTCGTTTGAAACTTGAAAATTGATATGTGCCCAAAAGTAGTTAACTCCCTGGATAGAACTTGGAAGAGTCGAAAATACAATGAAATTTCTGTGACTAATCCTCGTTCATTTGGCTTAACCTTTGCCACTGATCTTTAGTTTCTGTGAGTTGAACATCGACTTGGCCACGAAAGGTTGACACCTTGTCCGGTAAATTTGCAAGAGCAGACAACTTTGTCAGGTAATTGATTTTGATTGGCTGTGTAATTGAGCAAAGAATCGCAAGACAAAAATTACTCCACTCAAAGATCAAAATTTCATGAATAATAATTGGTTGTTTTATTATGTTAAATATAAATTATGCAGTAAACTCTAAATAAAGATTCACAAACTGGATGACATACTTTGTAATTGCAGCTCTGACGTATTTCATATACTAAAAACAGACTTTTGCGTCATTTGATCGAAACAATCGGAAACGTATTTCATTTGTTCATGGCGGCTTCCCCAATATGGGTAACTAGCTGCATTCTAGTCCCGAAGATGATACACGTTCATGTATGTCTGGATGTTAGAGACAATCAAATGCAAACACATATTCGGGGTCACTGAAACATATGCAAATGTTGACTTAGTAATTATTATGCACGTGACAATGCATGATACTTCATCATGTAACATATATTTTATTTATATAATCATATATTTTTTTCAAAATCTATTGTGCACAATGTCGTTGGTAGAAATTAAGGACGCTGGCGGTAAAACCATCAAATACATCGAACATCATGGTTTTAACTTTGTTACTAGGAATGTTGAAAGTGTCAAGAATTATGAGAATTTTAAGCTGAGGGAAAGTGATACATTGATTTGTGCCTATTGTAAATCTGGTAAGGACTTCATCTAGAAATGGTCAATTCAGTGGTCGAATAAGTTAGATTTTAAAGAAGGGATTCTCATCAACTGTTGCATAAGAGTTCATTTTACAAAAACGTACTATTTCAGTAATAATTAAGTCTACTAATTTTAACCAATCTTGCACGTTTTTTTTCTCGAAACTAACAGTGTGTATAGGACGTATAAGAAGCATGAAAAGTAACACTTTACTAGAAATAGCAGCGAAGGACAGACTTTATAACGAAATGCCACCAGAATTAAGGAACGCCCAAGGCTTGTCAAGAAAATGCAATACATGTCCCTTCATACTAGAAACTCGCTATTTTTCAATAAACTTTACTAAGAAACGATATTGACGTTATTAACATATGTAGTGATCTGAATAATTCTTTGTATTCAATTTTTTTTTTATTTGTTGATATATTTTTCCCAAATCAGTTATATTTTTCAATTGATTCATCGATATTTCTCTTATTCCACATTACCTACAGTCGAGATAATAAAAGATTTGAAAGTATTACTTATTAAGACACAATTTTGGTTATTTTCCAGAACTATAAACTTATAAGTTCCGTGCCTGTACTTTCGTAACATGGTTTGGTTTTCAATCCAATGTTACAAAATTTATTCCCATTCCTGGCGCATAGATATTGACTTGCCACAACTGTAGGCATAGCACCCTTTGTTGGTGCGTCCGATATCACCAGTTATCTAGCAAGTAAGGCCGGAGCACACGTGGCGATATTTTGGACTTAACGCTGCACGATTTTTTGATTGCCTCAAATTATCTAGTGCACAGTCAATGCGTCTGGGAGAGCTTTATGTAGAACTGTCCTTTTATGCTACTTATTTTTTTTCATTATCGTCCGCCCACTCACCTTCTTCAGGAATGAGAGATGAAGACAGTGAGTTTGCCATGTTGAAATAAGCACCTGCCATTGGTTGATCTTTAGGTTAGGTCACAACAAATCATCAAGAACATCCGAACACTACCCGACACGGTCAAACATAACAGATATCTCCTGATCACTCTCGATTTTTTTGTAGAGCTATCGTCGAATTTTTTGGCGTGTGCGCCGGCCTAAAGCAGAAGTTATCATTTTATCTATAATCAGATCAGAAGAAAAATCTAGACCGTTTAATTACAATTTGTTATTAAAGTATTTGTTCCACCCGAAGCCTGTATATTTGGGAGAATAAAACCCTCCCTTTCCCGAAACTTAATTTCAATAGAAAAGGGAAGGTAAATTACATCGCTCGACGCTCGAACGCAGCTTGCACTTGGCGGCTCTCCAGTATTTTAGCCCAACACATTTATAGAAGAGATTCTTTCCCTTTAAGTGGTGATATGAAATCCCAACAAATCTATGTGATGAGGTTATTTAGTACACATAACTTCTGCAAGCTAAATATGTTTTCAGGAACTCATTGGATATGGGAAATATGTCGAATGTTACTGGCCGGAACAACTGATTTGAAAATCATTGACAAGGAGACTCAGATGATAGAAATATCAGACCACAAAGATCTAGAGAACCAGCCATCTCCAAGACTCGTGAATACTCATGCTAGCTACGATCTTCTGCCAAATGATTTCTGGAGATACAAAAATAAGATTGTATATTTAAGACGAAATCCTAAAGATGTGGCTGTATCGTTCTACAACCATATCAGAAACGTAAAGACTGTGTTTGATTATGACGGAGAGTGGAAGGATTACCTTAAGTTATTTATAGATGGTAAAGGTGAGTGGTTGTAATTTGCATAAAGTCGGTTAATCTTCTATGATATTGGCCATTGGAAGGTTGCTTTAATATAATTTTCAAAATAACTATTTTATTAATCATGATCCTGTTCTACAGACATTTGCAGAATCAAAATTACAAACGTTATCAAGGTTATTTTGGATTTTGTGTTTCGTTTGGCGGTTCGTTTCTTTTATAATGATTCGTTGATTCTATGTGTAGTTATTAATGGTTCATGGTTTAAGTATGTACTGCAATGGGAAAGAGTAATAGAGAATTCAACTGATGTAGAGATTCTAGATGTTACATTTGAGGATTTTAAACGGGTAAGTGTTTACTTACAGCTTTGACTTTGAGATAAGCATATTCAATTAAGATAAACTTGATACCATGGAAATTGTCCAGCGCTGGAGTGAGCTGACATGACCCAGCGCCCAGTTTTTGGAATCGCTCGACGGTCCCACAAACCTTGTGCATACCCAAGAAGCCGTGACCTCAAAGCTTCATGAATTGATACAACTGTTATGGTAAACAGGCTCAGTCCCTCTAGACCTGTACAGGAACACAGGTGACAGAGTGGCGTGCGACAACCACAGGTACCTCACTTCTGAGTATATCTTGTGATTATGATGATGAGGAAGGGATAAAGGGTCACCTTTGTGTCTTTTATTTATCTTCAACCATATTGAAAGGTAAAAAATATCTGGCCGTGTCGACTATATATATATATATATATAGTCCCATTAATATATCCAGTTCAATATGAATATTAAAATGCATGAAAATCATAAAGGAGAAATTTACAAAAACACAAAATTCTTTAAAGATTTTAGTCTTCCCATTGTGTGTCACAGATGGTTTAGCACTGTTTTTGCAGTTATGTAAATTAAGGGTTCTTTTTCTTTTGTAGAATCCTTTGCAAGAAATCCATCGACTCTGTAAGTTTTTTGATTTATCGTTAACTGATGAATTTATTAGAGAAGTTAAAGACCATTGTGAGTTTAAAAAGCTAAAAGGAAGAAAGGGGCATTTGGTTACTACGCCCGATGGACAATCGTCTCTCTATCGGAAAGGTAGGCCCCACCTCGGAATAAAAGTTTGCACCCCCAATTGTACTCCCACTTTATTCTTAACAAATTTATATAAATGAAGCTTTGATATATCATAGAATTATTTTATGATTGCTATAATATTTCAGGGTACACCTGTAATATTTAACGATATATAGTGCTATATTTATATTCTATGATTGTTTTATGTAAGGTGCCAGATTTTATGATAAATTAAATGTTTTATGAAAACTGCGCTATTTCATAGTAGTTTTAATATTTCAAATTTCATGCCAGCCTTAATATTTCAAATTCCAAATCTAGACCAAAAATCAGTCAAAAATAATTTACGATAGTTTATTTACTTCAAAGTACCTTGAATATTTTACGATAGCTATATTTTTCATATAATAACTTTATGTCATAACAGCTTATTTGTCAGAAATAACACGAACACCTTCTTTTCAGGATTTTTCATAACATATCAGAATCAAGATCATTATATTGTGACCTCTTGTGCCAAACAAGCTAACCCGAATAAATTTGCAACTATACCCTATAAAATTATAATTTTCAGGTGAGGTGGGAGATTGGAAAAACTGGTTTACAGTGGCACAAAATGAACTTTTTGATAGCATATACAAGAAAAGAATGGTAGGATCCAAACTAGAGTTTAGATATGAATAGAGGAAGTCATTTATTGATGCAACAACGTACGACAAAACCTATCAATAATAATTTATATCCCTGTAAACTAAGTCATGGGAATAGTGTCCAAATTTTGGAATATTTATCAAATGTAAAGTTTGGTGATTTCTGATTTGTTCTTGAATATAAAATAAATATCATCTAATTGATAATCAATGTTTCGAAAGGATTAAACAGGACTGTTTGCGAATGAGATTTGCGAATGAGCCTTTACAGCACATTATTAAACATCTCATCTAGACGTCGAACTCCTAGGTCCACTAAATCCGCACTGATCAGCTTCTCTCAGATGTCGAACAAACAGTACTAGATAATCCAAAATAAAATTTCTCCCACCTATAAAACCCAGTAAAAAGCAAACAGTTTCTCAAAACTATAGTCGGGACTTTTGTTCTTTTCATATAGATAAAACTCGTTAATTCACCTCACAACGAACGACTGTCACGATCTTTTGTAGTTTTCATTCGTCAAATATACCTCGATTTACCCCCCTTAGAACACTTTGGACAAGTAAAGAACAATTTCATATAGCGTAGAATGCGGGGAATTTTAGATAATCTTTAGTTTCGTCACAACATTCGTCGCTGTCGCAAGAAGCGGTTTCATCATAACACGATTTGATTGGTTAACCCTAGGGTTAACCCTCGCTAACCTAAGGTCTCAGTAGCCCTGTGGTTCGCGCCCTTGCCTGGAAACTCGAAGTCCGGGGTTCGAGTCCCAATCGAAGCTTTTTTAAAAATTGTTTTTTTTTGTTGCTATAAGTCAAACACCGTTTGTTCTATCATTTTAAGTATACAAAAGAGGTCTGTGAAATCTAGAATGGCTTAAAACTAACTGAAACAAAATGGGACACATTAACCCCTTCGGAACCACTTGGGTATAAGTTGTTTCGGGTCCATTTAAACCTCCGTGTTATTTTTTTCCCCGGACCTTTTTGTGTTGAGAAGATGCGCAACGAAGTGCTCTTTCATTTCATATGCGGAAACCATAGCTTAGAACAAGCTTTAACCCTTTCCTGAGCCTAGGGATAACCAAACCTTGAATAACGTCATTAGAATCAGCCTGTGGTTGAAAATGGAAACGAAAGATATCAGAAAAGAAAAAAACTAAATTGTAACCTTATTTTTATAAGATTGCATTAAGATAGACTCATGTCAACCCAGCAACTGACTGAAACTGAGAGCAACTGGATTTTCAATAACTTTTTGCAGTTTACGGCTAATTGGTGAATCAGATCAATCATTTGGATTTATTTTACGGGATACGACTGATGAATCCGTGTACTGTTATTCTACTTACTTTGGAATGGACACGATTAGTCGTACACTGTGCCCATTAGTCCGTACCCAGTTCTTGGAATTCTGCTCATTTCGACCTCGACGAATTTCATGGAATGCCGCGAATCCTCAGCCCGCCTTTCCAATCTGGTATTTTGACTATACCAGATAAGCGACCTCAATGAATAGAAAAGGATAGCAAATAAAAAAAGTATTATGACTTATAATGTAGATATTTATTCATATCATTGCAATTATATCTCTAATAGAAAATTCCAAATAATATCTAAATATATTATAATAAAGTAGAAAAATAACTTAATATCAACAATAACTCTTTATAGATTTCATTTTATATTATACATCATCTATTGAATAATATTTAACACTACTTGCATTGAGAAAATATTTCAATTATCTGCCCCTCCTTGAGATGTAAACTAGATGTAGTAGTTTAGAAATTAGCAATCTCAGATATTTCGTGCCCGTATAAATTCTCACTACACAAAATGCAGATTGAAATAGTTCAATATATATATAATATAACTAACAATTGCACGAGATTCAAAAATATATATTAGATTGTATACATTTTATGATTATATACATTTATGTTTATAAAAAAAAATCGAAAATGTATTTCGTATTATAGACATAGATTTTGATTGTTTAACTCTTTCATGCCAGATGATAAATACATCAGTAGACATTTCGTTTCGTTTCTTTACTGTGGGATACTACATTCATTCTTACGGCAATTATAACACAGATGTGTTCACAAATGCAATCAATCAAATTCTCTGTGCGTTCGGATCTTGAAAATTATTTATTGCCGAACATCAACTTTTACTTAAAAATATAGCACGAGTCCTCAACGACCTTGAGCTTGTTTCGGCACCCCTCTCAGCAGATCAATGCTGTAAACTTTGAATTGATTAAGGGTTCAGTTCTCCGGACAATTCATGCAAAGAGAAAATTTATCTGTTGAAGACTGCTGAGTTATCGGTTACACTTCTAAATTCATAGAATGGGCGAAATAACCAACAAAATACAAACGAAACTAAACGAAATCTAATGTATTTCAATCCGATTGCGTTAAGAATAACTTCATCTTTTTGGATTTATCTTTAAGCATCTGTTTGCAGTCTTGTCTGTATTTTATAAAACACCAGTGTTAGACTATGTATTTCAGATCTATTTTTGTTTTAAGAAATACAGAATTATCAGTCTCAATCTGCGCATTGCAAATGGACAAAACACAATCACAAAACAAGAATGCAAAGAAACGAAATTAGTGCAGTTTATATTTGTTTTGTACACTTTCTGGATCAGTGTTACATCTTCCGCTTTGTAAAAGTGATCAAATTATTGTTTAAGCACATAAGTTCGAAACGATTGGAAACATGTTTCTTATCCAATTAAATCACCTTTTTATATAACGATTAACAATAGTTATATTCCAACTCTTGATCTTTCCAATTGGCACATCCATCAATCAAACAATCCTATAACATAACCATTCGCATTTCCATGATCAAAAATGAGAAAAAATAAAATTGCTTATGCAAATTATTTGAAATTACGGTTCCTCGTTAGTAAATCAATTCATTCCGACAACAATTGAATGCAAAATCTGTTGTATGTTTGATTATAAATTGGACTCAGAGAAAAATCTTCGCGATTTCCACAGCACTTTTTTCTGACAAATTAAATGTTTATTTTCAGAGTTCTTGCACATAGTTCCTGATACGAGCGTTGGCCAGATTCTTCATCTATCTGCACCACTGGAACTGTCGTCAATATCTCTTGGGCTGCAAGTAGAAAATAGAAAGGAATTCATAAATGAACGCGGTAAATAATTAAGCATACGGATGATGTAAGATGATAAAACACACATGTAAAAACCTTAAGCACATAACATATCTTAGTCAGTTGGTATATGAGGGGAGAGAGGATCATACATGAGAACAAAAATTATTTTTGTATGAATTTTTAGTTGAAAGTCCATCCATACATTGATACATTGTAAAACTGACAAACCTAGCCGTAGATTGATATCAAGAAGTCGATTCACATCGATATATATATATATGAAAATGCCATACAATTTTAGTTGTGTGGGAGGAACGCAATCGCAAAGTGGCATCAAGTGCCATATTTTCTCCTATACACATTTACTAGTAGGCCTACTGTTATTTCAATACGTTTGAAATCATTGGCTTATTAAGGGACACCAATGAATTCTGAATGCGGCCATAATTAAAGGATTTGATATTGGTCACAGAGTGGTACGCACAAAAACTGTCATGAATTTCAATTAGGGTGTCCCATAGTCTTCCATTTATTATATTAATATATGGGTCAACGAATTCAGACAAACTTGAAATTGATCGAGAGAAACCAAGTGAAACTTTATAATTGTCAGTATATTATACTTTAAAGATGTTAAATGGTAAAATTAACCATGAATAGAGTACATTTTCTTTTCTACCCATAGGAGTGAATAGAAACTTGTTTCGCTAAGCCATCGTGATTGTTTATAGGTCGATGTGGACGAATCTGTGAGATATTCCATCAGATAATTCAATACATTTACCCAGAAATACTCGAAAGAGTCACGTGATACATCATAAAGTATAAGGATCAAAATCATTATTCTTGATGCACAACTGAGCAAAAGACAATTGTCTTAAAAGGATAGTTTTATTAGAATTGCAGGAACCGCAGACGTCTGATTGAACATAAGAATGGTGCAAAATTGTGCTATCAGTGTCCACGATACACATAAAAATTTTAGAAAGCCTCTTTACAGTCGTTGAAGCTGAATAAGGCCTTTATTTCAAGAAAGCTTAAATTGCTTCTGTACCTTAGAACACCCGTTTTCCGATATACCTAACCTTTAGAAGTAATTGATTGCAGATTATCATATTTTAATATCAGCCTCTGTAATAGAAATTTTCTGATAACATCATTAGTAATGGATTTCAAAAGTCCAATTAGCGTCATATCTGATCAATACGTAAATGTATAATATGTTATGCTTAAAAAATACCGGCCAAATACAGCTCAATTCTGTAGTGTTTCTTAATGTTTAGATTCCATTGCTAACTCATAAAAACTCGACAAAGGGTCGATGATATTTTGATGTATTATGGAACAATTCGAAAGTGTTCTTTATTTTACCTATATACAGTTTTCTGTAGTGTTTCTTGGTGTTCTGTACCAATTGCTGACCCCTTGTCACAAAAACTCGTCAAAGGAGCGATGATATTATATAAGTAATATGTAAAAATTCGTTAGTAGTCGTTATTTTAGGAAAATTTAAAGGAAATCTAGCTGAATAATAAACTAGGACATGTCAGTCAATATTGATACTGAAGATGAAAGGAAATATGCCAACAGCTATGTTAAATGGATTACCCCACGTTAGAAAGAACTGTGAACCAGATGGTAGAAAAGGAAATGGTGCTATGCGTACCCGTAGGTAGCTTTGAATTATTTTGATGGTTTTTAACTGGACAAGTGATCTCCACCAATATTAAAAATCAGAGGCAGAATGTTTAAGACTGTTTATGACATATCATAATTGAACCTTTATCAACATCTTAAACGGAATCATACCTTGAACAAGTTTTATATTCTACCTACAGTATATAGGTAGCCAATAAGTTATGAAGTGGTCGGATTACAATATAAAACGACAATGTAAGATAATATATGGTCTATTGTTAGTCACTCTGGATATTATGTCAATATTTGTCAACCAATCTTTAACATCTGATCAAAATAGTCATTCAATAAATGCACCGCCGGCAATATTTAATATATATATATAAATGTATTGATTTGGATACTGTTACATAGAGGACCAGGCGTGGGTACAAAACAAGAAGGAAAGAACTTTGTTAAATTTTCATAAACGGCAATCTATCACATTATAACATTCAGCAATCGCTTACATTGTACGCCCAACTTAAAGGCACAGTTGAAGTATATTAAGGAAACTTAATGCATGTATACCATTTTAATGGCCTGTCAGAAGTCTGCGACACGTGTTATTTCAGAGATGGCGTAGAGATTACATAGTTATTTGTTTTCTAAATATTATTTGCATGTTTTGTTCAAAGAGATCACCCTAGCTTGCAATACCAAAAATTAAAGTTTTATCAAGTATCGCGGTATTTGTAAAACTTTTCAGAAATTCGGGGTGTTGCAAACAAATTCAGTCAAAGGAACCAAATCTAAATATATGTATTTCATAAAAATAACAGTTATCCACTGATATCTATCTATATTTCATTTTCTATACACTAATTTGGCAGGTAGCCAATTCCTTTCAATACTAGCTTTCTCCCTCATTCATCTTTTAGCCGAAAACAGGTTTTTATCTGAATCTCTCGATATAGGGATTTAAAAAAGTTTATAGTATGTATATGACTAGTTTACGATAATGGATATCTTGAATGAAGTGACCTAAATTCATAAATAGAATGAACAATCGAAAACCATCTTTGATAACGCTTCATCGGGAACATATTTATGAAGATGAAACGGTGCTTTACGTTCTACTGGTCACCTTTATTAGAACAAAAGAGCCTGTTATCAAAGTGAACAATCTAAAGAGGAAGTTCCGTCGGAGCTCTACAACAGATTCCAATTTATGCCCAAAAGTTGAATACGGTATCAATAATGGAATATCAATTTACTTTCACAAACATTTTGCTATCTATGTCAAGGGCATTTACTCAAGACTAAGTCGAAAAAATCCAAGTCATTCATGATGCACATGTGCGTATAAGTGTAAAGCTCCCTATTTTATCAAATAAGTGTATTTTATTCCACAATAGTTGTCTTTAGTTAGGTCAAAAGGTTAATTTGACGAACGTTCAAAAGGGCTGTCGTTAGATCCTGAAGTTGCTATATAAGAAATACAAGTTAATAATTTTTTTTAATATTAAAGTCCCTGTGCGTCCACGACAAACCGTCGGTAGGATATGAGTGATACTAGACGTCCACATTTTCTTTTTGGCCCAAAGAAAGTAGTTTAATAGAAATATTATAATATCAAATATTAACCCCCGGGGGCTGTGTGACTAGTCTTTACAATATAGAATGTATAAATTGATTAATGTTGTCCATAGTAAGTTGAGGACATGAAACGATCAATGGTACATTTTGTATCTATTCACCATAAAACATGTACTACATAAAAGGAAGCAAAACTTATTCATATACCATCAAAATGGCGAATGTTATGTAGCTTCATTGAAATACACCTATTTATTCAAAATTAAATATCTTCTAGTCTATTTTTTGAGGTTGTTAGGTTATTTTTAACACAAAACTTATCATCCAGTAAATCTTCTTTGCAGACGAACTGGAGCATAGAAGCTCAGAACACCACACTTTGCTCTATTTAAAACTTTTAAAAAGAGGTTTTTATGGTAGTGAAAAAGATGTTTATCTGTTAAATGTACCTAGCTATTTTGTTTGACGTTTTATGTCATCAAAATTCATCTACTGTTATCGTACAGCATATCAAAAAATGTATTTTTTATGTCTGCAATTTCAAGTCTTACGACCCAAGCGTGAGTGCATTAAGTAAGACAAAGGCGAATTAATGATTTCAGGCTAACTAAAATATGCAAAGAATAAGAATTAACGCAACAGATACATACATGTAACCAAGTTACAAATCAACTTACAAATCAAGTTACAAATCAAGTTGATCCTGGGGATTCGGAAAGCCCAGCATGTTATTAGATACACTTAATTCGATTTAATCTTAATGTTATTTTTTGTGCATTTCCAGAAACAACCAACAAACCGCCCTTAGTTCATGCACCTTATTGGCGTTAGAGAAACCATAAAAGTTACCCTAAATACCAAAAGATAATGGTCACCTTTGAACTTTGAACTATAATTTATTGATTATTGAAGAAATCGATGTCGATGAAAGAACTATTAACTAGTATTGAGGTATATAACCCCACACAGTCTATTCAATATGATTTATCTACATAACAAGTGACACTTATACCATCATTATATTGGTACTTTTATTACATTATTATTACTATCAATGACTGTTACTCAAACTTGTGACCAACACCAACAACCTTTTATTGATTTTGAGTAGGTGTTTGGAAATTTGTGAATAAGATGGTTTGCCAGATTTTCTCAATTGCCAGTTGATAGCTAAAGCTTTTGACGGAATTTTTCATTTTCAAAAGTTACATTATAAAATAGTTTTACCTGCATCCTATTCAGTTCAGAAAGACGAACGCAAGTTAGATTGTGTAAAAAGTAAAAAAAAAGACGCCTGCTCCGAGCCCCATGGCCTACCATTCTAGAATTTTATTGCAAACAAAACCTGAATGTTTCTTGAATTATTTTCTTGCAACATTAATAATTCCTATAATATACAGTCACAAGTTCACGGTACTTATCAAAATAAAGAACTCACCTTTGAAAAGGAGATCCTGGGTTGAAAATAACAGTTTTATATCCAACAGAATCATACACAATTTGACCAGTTGTTGGAACCACCATGTTTGGAATACTTGCTGGGTTCTGGCGTTGATCAAATGCAAAACCCTTTTCTGTTTTAGCTGGGCTTAATTCTTCTTCATCGTCATCTTCTTCATCACTAGAAAAATACACCGGATTCGCTCTTTGCGTCGTATTTTCAGATTTATTGTCCTTTTTTGATTTATTGGTCAACGTGCCATTGTGAAAGTCACTCAAAAGATTCCCTAAAGCGGCATTGTCTATTTCATCACTCGTTTTGCCATTTAACAAATCAATCATTTTACGTTTTTCAAGCGACATTTGTCCGTTCATGGTGTCAGAATTGATCGTTGTCTGTTGTCCCGCTGTCATCACGTGCATCATATTCTGCTTTTGATTAATTTGAGGATCGCGCTTTGTAAAAATCCTGGACAGATCGGGACCAGAAGTCGGCAGATACATGCTCTGACTATGTTGTAACGGACTAGTAGGCACAGAGGTAAAATTAACAGAATTCAATAAATATGTCCACTGTTGCGGTGTGGAGGGAGGTGGTACTCCCATAAGTCTCATGTATTCACTTAGCTGATTCACATCATTTGAGGTAAAGTTTTGTGGCACATTGCTAACCAAGCTATTGGTTGGGTTGAAATTCATTGTCATTAATTGTGGGGTATGATTCATTCCCGAGGCCATTGAGGGATAATAAGGTTGATTGAAATTATGAAGATGTGCTGGTGGAGTTATGGGAGCTGAAACTCGATGCTGTTGAATCGAATTTAGTTGCTGCTGCATATGCTCAGTTTGTAGACGCTGAAGTTTCTCTTGACTGTCGAGATCACGAAGACGACGGTATTCCAGCTCCATCTCCATTTGTTTCGTGCGTTCTTTTTCTATTTCAAGCTCCTTTGCTTTTATTTGTTCAGCAAGTTGTTCCTCCATTTGATGCAGTTCCTGTTTACGAAGAGTTGATTCAAATGTCATCTTCTTTTTCTTCTTTTTGTAGATCTTTGGTGCTCTTCCACCGTCATCCTCAACTTGTGCTTTCGCTGCAGGGAAATCGGGTAGAAGGACAATTTGACCGTTTCCACTGACATAAGCAACACTAGCTCGTTTCATTTGGTTTACTTCTGGTTCTTTCTCAATTGGATCGTCTGGTAAATCAAAACGAACGTCCTCAACTCCCATACCAGCCGTATCACAATCATCGCTATCTGAATCCTCAACACCGATCACGGGTGGAGTAACCTGGTTGAGGCTCCAATTTGACGCGTTATTGTACATTTCTCCTTCGGAATTACGCGATCGGCGTAATATTTTACCAGATGCACGACTAAGGGATCCAAATGCGTTCTTAACGCCCTTATGGACAGTCTTTTTCAGTTTGCGAATACTACCATATTTATTTTTTTCGTCGGGAGTAACTTCTGTCTGTTTATAAACGCGATTCTTTTTCCCGGACTTTTGCTGACTTCCATTTTTCAAATCTTTTACCGTACCTGGGATGATTTGCGATTTGAAACCTTCTGAAGTAGCTCGCTGATGTGTTCGGAACACTTCTGCATTCATATCCTCATCCGAATCCAAATCATGTTCAGGGGTCCATTCTTCAGAATAAGTGGAACTGAAGGTATTTCTCTTAGATGAGTCATCCTCGTCTTCCAAATCTTTCTTCATACCAATATTCCCTGTGCTTTTCGATCTCTGAACCATGACTGGAGATTTAACTTTTGACGATACGGTCTGTTCAGCATTGTGTTCATTAGTAGATGGCTTAATCACAACCCCGTTTGTAGAAAGTGGTCTGCGGTTGACGGAAAGCATTTCATCGATTGATTTAGATTTCTTCATCCTGTCTTCGCGATCACCTAATGCTTTTCCTAACTGTTCTTTAAACACAGCATTTTGATCTTTTGGCTTTGAGGCAACGGGGGTAGTTTGCTTTTTGATTTTGGCACCTCTCGCTTGTGCGGCAGTTATTATGTCATGCTGAAGAAGACTGCTCAATTTCTTCTGACTATCATCGGAATTTGTTTTCTTCTCTGCTTGTTTCGGCGATTCGGCTTTAAAAGACTCATCCGTGACAGGTTGCAGGGAAGACTGTTCTAGTGCATCACATGTGGTCGAAGGTGGTTTTGGCTTAGCTTCCTCCATTTGGACGCTGCCTGATTCCGACTTGGACCTAGATTCGATGGAATACAGGCTCAAGTTATCGGACATAGAAGATACAGTATCAGTTGACATAGATGTAGTCTCGTCCTTTTGGTCCTGTTGAGATTTTTCCGATTCGTTAGTATCCTCAACATGTTCACCTTTCAGAATTTTCTCTTCAACTGTATTTCTGACTGATTGCAGTCGAAGCTCCAACTCCGACAGTTGACGCTCCGGTTTGGGCAACACTGGAGGAGTTTTAAAAGAACTTGATCTTGACACTGGCTTGGTTTTGGCTATACCATCCGAGTCTGAATTCAGTTTGCGTGGTGAAATTCTTCCGGCCATTGGAGCCGGTCCTTTCTTACGAGGGTTTACTGGAGGTGGTGGTGCCACGGGAATGGAGTTAACTGATGAAACATTTGAGCTTGATGAATCGATCGAAAGTTGGCGCTTAGTTCGTGGTGGCAAAGAATTCGTTGATAGATCGAGATGATAGTCAACTGGTGGCTCAATGACTCCATTTTGATTCGGTGGTGGCGGGGCTCGCTTCTTCTTTCTTTTGCTTACACCAGTATCTGAACTGGCAGTGCTGATGCTATTGCTTCTGGTGACGCTGAAAGATGTAGTGTAGTTGGATGATTTAGAAGAGTAACGGTCAAAAGGTGACTGCATAACAGTCGATTTATCAGCTAAATCATCCGTGAGATCTTGGATTTTCTTACCAGTTCGTTTCTCGAGTTCTTCTAGTGTCTTTTTTCGCCTAGCTTCAGCTAGTTGGGCATACGTCAAATTAAACGATTCGTCCATATCGAAATTACTTTTCACTGGAAGGGATGTACCACTAGGCAAGGAATTTGAGTATGGATCTTTACGCCATTCGTTATACAGATGCTCACGTGGGTCTTCGGGAATGGTGCTCTGCTCATTTAGTAAACTAGTACACATTGATTGCTGCCGACGGTGACCTTTTATCCGCCCTTTGTTGTCAAAGTTGTTATGGCGTAAATGACTTAAGCCATTTGATGGTCTTGGAGTGGGACTCTCATAACTCTTGGGGGTAGTTTCAGAGTCGAAGATACCCGAGTCATTGTTTGGAGTTTCACCATTCGTTTTAAAAGAGTCGCCGGGAGTAGATATTCCATTAGGGTAATTAGGAATTTGCATGTCCTTGCCCGGAGTCACAACAGGTCCTTCTAAACGACTCTTTGAGGGTGTGGTTGGTGTATCGTTACGATTCTCCTTGTCGGTTTCGTAGTCCATGGGCAAACCTTCATCTTCCTCAAGTTGATATATGTCTGCGATCTCTGGCATAAATTTCACCAATTCTTGTGAAACTGGTCTTAAATTTGACCGACCATCTAAAGGGATGTTCCCTGGCAATACTTTATTCTGTGCCACCACATAGTTGGGAGTTTTAGGTTGTGGAGGACTTGTTGGGCGTTTTGGTGGAGATTTTTGTTTGGGTGCTACTGATGTAGCTGGTGGTAGGTGTTCGATGTTGGCGCTGGATCCTTGACCCATGTTGATTGTTTCAGATCATTTGGTACCTGAAAAGAGAAAAAATAATATTTTGAGTCATATTTCAGGATATTTACAACGACAAAAATTGACATTCTACAGTTGAAAGATACAATTTGACGCTGCCTTTCTTTGAAGCTTATGCACAAACACTCCCGAATTGTGTTTCGATTCAAGATTATTAAATTATTATTATTAAAATGTCACATTCACATATGTTTCTGGTCGCTATCGGTAAAACCATTTGTAGAAGATATACAGTCGCGTCTTTGAGTGGACACTAACCACGATATCAAAAACAAACCCATCATCCAAAACAACACCCCATAAACCTACAGCACAAGAACTCAGGTACAGAAAAGTCCACCTTTACTAAAAACACAAACGCATATAAACAAGCCAAATAATATGTGATAGAGATATATTGTAACCTATATTTTTTACAGACGTAATATATCTATCTGATCCGATCTAATAAAACAAGTATATCAATCACACTAAAAATCTATACAATACACAAGACTTAGCTGTGTTGTTGATACAAAGACAAGTTCAATATACTTATATTACATATTGTCAAACCTATTTGAAATATAATACTGATTTTAAGTCTATAACCTAGTCCCTTTGTTTATGATCTAATACTTTGATATCTTTTTAAATAACAACAACTTTTACCTCCCACTGGTTTGCACTGTTACAGGTGTTAAAGATGATATTTTCCAACAAAAGAATTGTGGACACTTTTTCCTAATGTTGATTTCCCGCCCAGAGTCTTCCTACAATTCTAGACACGGTTATGACGTCACTATCGCAAATACCATTCAAGCCAATGAGGTCAGACATAATATCGGAATTGTAAATTATACTCTTTTAGTGCACTCAATACTCATGCAATGACAAGAAAGTCGTATAATGAACTATTTGAGTAATTGTTTCGTGCAGACGGAAATAATTACCAATTATTCATTTCCCCAAATTGTATTTGAAGCATGAGGATCTATAATGAATATTTTCAAATTGTCAGCATTATAAATTAAAAATTCGTTCTTGACAGACGTATCAGATTTGCATTATTCATAAACATCTACGTGATTGTAGACAATATCAATGTGTCGACTGCATGTAGATTTAAACTTATTTGCCAAAAGGCATCATCAATTTTAGAACCTGGTAAAATATTAAAGCCTTTAGATTTGAAGTCACAATCCAGTAGATTTTAAAGATAGAAGCGATAGATATTAATTAATCATGACGTTTTTAGTATCATATTATCTGAATTTATTACAACTCACTGCACAACATTAACATAAACACATTATAATTACCTAGCAAAGATTAAAAACATCCTTTTAAGACGTCAATGCAAAATTGTATTATCAGCCAACGACAAAAACTATCCGTAATGTACTAGCCCGCATCCAGTAAAAAACGGTGAAGGTATAACAACATAATATTTAATCAGAACATCAGCAAATGCTTGAAATAATTCACAATGTCAACCTATTACGATAATAATAATAATAATAATAATAATTTATTTATTTAAGTGTCACCGTCCATATATACAGAGAATAACAACAATAAAATACGAACTGCGACTAATACCTTGACTGCAATGGCCACCTTGCTTGCATCACGAAAGTTTATAAATGCGTCGAGTGGATTGAATTGCACGAATGCTAATGCAGCCATTCAGAGCCCCCGACAGAAAGATTGTAAACATTATGCTGCACGTGTACTCTTATAGGCTTTGATTGGATGTATTCTGTAGCGTACAAACTGCTGTGATGCAATAAATGTGGCTAATGTAGTCGCAGTCGCAGCTAGATGCTGCAGATACTAGGTTCAGTAATATACTAGACTGCATGATCACCGTCACACCTGTACTAACATTGAGACTAGAGTTTATCTTAGTTTTCAAAACACATGCCAAACCCATTGTAGTGAAGAAAATACCCGTGTAATCCTAGCTTTAGTGGTCATTCATATATTCATGAATACAATGAAAGTAAATACCATGACCATGACAAACAAAAGACTAGTCTGACTCTTAAAATTGGTTGATGGGTATAAAATTACATTCCACTGCCCGCGACATCGATAAATTCGTCCATTTAGGGTCAAATGTGACCAGAGGTCAACTGCTTTAATGATATAAATGCATATTTTTCACGGACTACGGTGAGATGGACATTTGGACAATGTTTATCACTAGGTTTGCAATGAAATGTCTAGAGTAACCTGTAATTACGATTAAGATGAAAAAGAATTTTGAATAACTATAAAGAGATGACTATCAGATATCACTACACCTGAATTTTTCTGATGAAATTTCACTGAAGTGCATTGGAGCTTTGCGTCATATTTTTCTGCACCTGGATAGAGCAATGAAGACGTGCAGTGTGCAATGACGATCATTGACATGCACCCCCTGAAAAATCTGGAGTCTAAAGATATTTCTACATAATGTCTTTTCAATATATGATAGTGTCTCAAGAAATGACGAATCGCCAAAATTTCAACGGTAAGCTGTGAACACTATTACTGGTTAGATTAGCTAAAAGATGTCCGTTTCTGACACTAAAGTACAATTGGTTCTTCCAATGTTGTCGTATATCATTTCATACTATTAAAGGTAACTGTCGGTTCAAAAAACGTTTACCACTTCGGCATCGAGACTAAAAAGCTATCATGTCGACATCATGTATTATGACTTAACAGATAGTGTTTGACACGACAGTTTGACATCCGAGAGATATGGCTTTTATAATTAATAGTATGATAATATCATATATCTATATAAGTTAAAACATTATTTATATGCTAAGTAACAAATCTTATCCTCTATAAAAAGATCAAAATATAGTTTATTTGGTTACAAAGTTCAATTTTTCGTCTCGATATAAATGTATATTATATAATCATCTTACCCCTTGAATGCACTTTACATAAGGAACTGAAGAAATTCTTCGCCTACAATATGAAGTTCGTATGCCTATATACATTTTTATGTTATATATCCCTAATTAAAAAAATAACCTAACAAGCATATGCATTGACATACTCAAAATTATACACACTAAATTATCAAGATTTTAAAAAAGAAAGATTACTGCATAATAGCCTAAGAAACGTCTTAGGTTACATTATGCACGTTATGTAACGGTTACATATATTCATGTAAGTGTTCCGGGAACGTCAGAATTGCCTAATGTTCTTGCGAGTGTCAAAACCCGCACCTAGCATTAGGATAAGGTCATTTAATAGCATTTAAAATCACAGTTTGAATCTAAAAGAAAACTTTACATTTTCGGAAAGAATATTAAACCGAACTGTGATCTGTGATGAACTCAAAAGCATATGCATATTCAGTTCAATATTTGGTTTTGATACTTCATATAGTGGTTGTGAGGTCACCTTAATAGTTTATGCTCTGTTGTCATACAATACTGCAAAACCTTTCTAAAAATACCCGTCGAAACCAGAAGTATTAGTTACAATTAATAATGAGTCGCAGCACTGATTTTAAATGATCTTAAATAGAAACACAATACACCACACCTTATCAAATTTTATATTGAATAACGGTTATAAATATTAAATTGCATAAGATTTACTTTGCTTGGTAGTAAATAACACGATTCAAAAATGACTCGTTGAAGCAGTAAAAAATAAGTCATTTGTAAATCTTCCTGCTTAGCATATAATGTTGCCCGATATCAGACATCTGGTTCATACGGTGCAGAAGATATGACCATAGATATTAACATAATCATGTGCACTTATTTACGGTAGAAACATTAGTGCATTATGACATAAATTCACTTATGGTTTTATAACTTTCAATTTGAAGTCTCTGTTGTCATTTACATACATGTACCTATTGGTAACCCATATCAGAATTGAAATCAAAGTGATATTCTCCTCACCAAATGCAGCTGGACATCAAGCAGTGTACAATGAGGGAAGATTTCAGCCATGATAGCAGAACTACTGCACCAACTGGTGAGGACCTTTAACGTTCAGCACACTGAGCAATGAGTTTACGACACACCTATGTGACTCAATCTTGCAAAACTAAATAGGGGCAACCAAGGGTGCTTTTTCGACCGAACAAAATCGAACAAAACCACATAAAGTATACCTATTCTACCAACCATTAGTTTTTTTTTTTATTGCTGGTAGCCTCAACTTAAAAAGGTCAAAAAATTACCTTGAAAATATTTATCTTTTTCCAATAAAATTGTAAACAAAACATTAAAAAGTTCAAAACACTTTAAACCAATAAAACCCAGTGACATAGATCCTAAAGCTATATACAACAAAAACACTTGAGAGAGTGGCATTATGTGACCGATATTCAAGGCCCTTCTACACAATTAAACCGAAACTAACGGTATTCGGGCATTCGGGTAATAGCTAAAACGAAAGAGTATTAAAACCAAATTTTCCTCTGTTCATCAACCCCTTCCAGAACTTTTTGAAATAGAGCATCTCATGATTACTCCTGGTGGGCTCGTGACCTGTATCCGTTATCTTACTCTATGATATATAATCAACAACCAACAGAGCCAATTGATCCATTTTTAACTACCATCAACTACTAACCCAGTTTGCTGGAAGCGTCATCTACGTCATCAACCAACCTCTGATGACGTCATTAATCGAAAAATATGCTTAGTAGTTATAACGGAAAATATCACTTAAGGCCCTTCACAATCATCAAACACTTAAGTTTAGCGGAACTACAGACGTCAGATTGGAATTGGGAATGGGGCAAATTAATGCAATCATTGTCCCCGATACACAAGAAAAAAACACATTTTAGAAAAACTCTCAATTCCTTTAAGTCAGTGAAAATTCAAATCTATATTTGACAAGACATGTGAAAGGGTCCCTATTCTTCGACATTGACTATAAACCGTAGGTCTATTACTGTTAAATAAACCCTTTCTTTGTTATTTCACGTATATAAAGGTTGTTTAAATTCAAATCAAACA